TCGTCTAGTCATTGGTGGTATGTGAATAGTGTCTGAACTCCGAATGTCAATATCAGTGATAGTCTGTTGAACAGTTCATTAGCACGCAGGCACTTACTTTCTAATACCCAGTATTAAAACCCGGTTGGCAATTTGAAGAAGGTTTGCACTTCTTTCACATATAATGATTCTCGTGAGCAATCCTCGGTCTCGCTCTTCTCTCGCGATCTCTTTCCACCGGTGGTGATTTCGAAGATAAAATGTTTTACAATATTAACGATATTTCCGGTACACTTGTAAAATGCTCGAGCACGAAGATTCAAATTTTATCCCTACCTCGAATGTGCAAAATTCTATCTGTCATGCACCGACTGTCACTCTGTTAAACTTTCTTAAACTTTGATTACCTGTCACTGTGGCTGCAAGAACCGATCTAATTTTTTTTGTGTGGAAACTTTCTTCTGAAGGCTCTGATAACTGCCTCAGTGATACTCTGATTGGAAGCATATCTATTCTATTTACATACACACGTCTACGTCAATCTTCCAAGCTTTTCAGTGGATATAGATTGAATGATAGAATAAGAAAAAGGGTGAATAAATTTGTTAGTTAGAATTCTCTTTTTAAATTACGTCCCTTTCACAAAACCCAGAAAAAAATTGAAATAGAAATACACCGTGATTTCTATCTGTAAAGCAAAGCTAAAACAAACGGGTCTAATCTGGGAAGATGTCAGGTAGTTTGATTCACTCTTATCCAATTTACTAAAAGCGAGTCCAACGCTTAATCGGGTGAGGTTCATAAACCTTAGTATAAATTGAGGTAAAAATAGTTATTACCATTATTCTTGACCTCTAAATTCTAATATTCATTGTGACTGTAGGTAAAATATGAAACTACTTTCTCTAAGACAAACGCATTAAAATGCATTAAATATATGTAAAAAAAATTTCTGAAATATTCCTTACAAAGTATTGGGTATTTTTTAACGAACAACAATTTCTCATGATCCATTCTTGTTTTACCAGAGACGACACAGAATAAAAGTAAAGTACACCTTTATAAAGTTAAAAAATTTATTCCGAGTTACTATTAACTAATAAAAAATTAAGAAAATAACAGCGAATTATTTCATTTTCTTTTGCACAATTTACATCTTTTAAAATTACGTATTCAAAACAATATTTTATTAATTATTATTTTAATAGTAGGAGTAGAAAGTTACAAAACAGTGTAAAAAAGTTTTCAGTGAAAAATGATAAATTTTTTAATACTATGCATGATTAAAAAAAAAACTCATTATTTTAGTTTTGTAGAATATTTAGTTTGGTAAAACCAGCACGTAAGAACAAATTAGTGGATATTTTCTGGAAATTATGTATGTGAGTTGAATAAATAAACAAATGTAGAAACCTAGATATTTTATTTTAATCATGTTGCTTGTCACTCTGATTTTCCTGCAGTGATGGTGTCATGAGTTATTATGGACAGTATTGGGTTTTAAATCGCATCAGAAATCCTTTAAAATAAAATTTAATTCCAAGATTTTTCTTTGTACATCTAAAACTGATAATGAATCTGATAATGAATTAATTAAGAGAAATACTGTTGTTTTTAATATTTCCCTATGTATGAGAGATTTTAAAATAAATTTTTTAAAAGAAACCTCAACAATAAATGATGGTATTCTTTTGCAAGTTATATTTCAGATAACTTGACAAGATAAGCAATGGTGATCTGTATGTTTAAATATATAATGCAAAGGTGATCTGCATGTATATAAATTTGCTTTACTTAGTTAAATAATGTTTAATAGAAAATAAAACTACGTTTCATATTTTGTGAATTATAAACTTGCGCAAAAAGCAAAAGAATAAATTTAAAAACTTATTTGTAATTTAAAAACTTCCTGAAAACTTAGTAATAATTTAATCATAATAATAATTATTCTCAAAAATTAAAATGCAACATCATATTATAGTGGAATCGTTTATTTAGTTGCAGGTGATACCATTCCTAAAGCATTTGATTTTTATTAAATATTCTTTGAGTTTGCTTTGTGTTTTGCTATGGTTAACAAAATCTCTAACCAGATCATCAAATCAATCAAAACATTTTATGTCTAAACAACAGTTAGTAAATGTATAATTTGTGTTAATGGTGGTAAAAATAATAATTTACTGTCATATTATTTTTCATTTATTTAAATATTGGTTTAATAGGAGTAAAAATTCCAGAAAAATAACACTTCAAATATTCTATAACAAAACTGGATGATTGTTCTTAAGTATTTATAAAAAAATACTATGTACTTTATATGGCCTATAGAGTTTTTGAGTAGAAGCGTAATCTGAGCTATCATTTATTTCAATTGAATGGATTCAATTCAATTGAGCTATCAATTTGAAAGTCGTTGTCAGGTGATAATTTTAACTTTAAAAAGTCAAACATTTGTATCTTAAATAAGCATTTTTTTTTTGGTCTGAGTAAGGGTAAACTTTAAAAATTGAATTTGAAACGAATTGAAAATAAATTATTAGGAATTATCAATATAAAATAAAGCTACGTATAGAAATGGAAATATAAACAGATCTGATAAATTATTTCGGTACATCTAGAAAATATGTCCCTATTACATGCTTCCTATTAAGAGCTGAGTTATCTTCCCGAAACTATTGTTTTGCCAGGATTAAACGATTAACTAACTAAACGTTTCTCTGCCGAACATTGTTTTTCGTTCGAACCAAGTAAGAAAACAATTTATGTTAGCAAAAATAAAATCCAATTCAATAAGTAGCTTTGAGAATAAATATAAAAGATTATTGTATACAAGAAAAGAATAAATGGACATATATATATACATATATATATATATATATGTTCTGATCAAACTATTATGAAATTTCTGGTCGAATCATATTCTTTGAAATTAACCTAAAATTCTTCAGAGTCTTAACGAAAGATGACAAATTATCTCTGCAGTCTTGAAGCTTCTACTATTCACGAGTGTCTTACAGAAGAAGATAAATCCATTGCATCTTTCACACAAATATTTCCTTACTTACATTCTTCTGAAATTGCAAAACATTTTTCAAACGGTAATCTTTATTTATTCTTGCGTGTTTGAAGCAAGGAATATAGGATATTTGAAATGAAAGGCAATCTTCATTAGTAAAAGTCCTTTGGGCCATTGCTTTATAAAGACTATATTTAAAATTGCATAATTTTAAACGAAATCATCTGTGCATTATCATTTTCATAAGTAATTCATGCAAATTTATTCCACTCTTGAAATCTTTTTTTGTTGACGACTTTCATTATAGTCAAGTTGAATTTCGAAGCGTAATAAAGAAGCATTTAAAGCAACTTTTTAAGTGAAAAGCAAATATATACTAAACGATGAAAAGTGAGCATAAAATCTCAATTAATTGGACTCGGATAAACTATTTTTTCTAGTCTATGTTTTATCCCACAATAAAACAAATCACTTCGTAGTGACTTATTTAGTAGTGACTTCGCACAGCAAATTAAATGCTTATAAAATAAAGCCAAAAATATTTATTATTAGAAAGACTCTACCAAAAGATATGATTCACACTCGTATTATAATAATTCCAATTGACCCAAATATCTTTTTTTTTTGCTTTGTATAAAATTGTGGTTACATTGTTGGTTATTTCTCTCAATGTTATTAATCTCCAATATAGTTGTGGGCTATAACTACAAAAAAAAAACAATTTATCATCTACATCTACATACTTGAAAAACCTGTGGAAAACAAAATATAAATGTGAACGCTTGCATACATATCTAATTAAATAGTGTACATGGTTACTAAGGTGACTTAAAATTAAATATTGTTTTATAAAAAAATATTGCATTTACAAAACAAAAGAATTATATTTCTGAATTAATGGAAACTGTTAATAAACATATTTATCTGACCTTTCGGGAGGGAAAATAGTTTAAAAAAATAACATTTTAAAAGTTAAATAATTCACATTCAATTTCTTAACTTTTTATCATGTTTAATATGGTGATTATAAATGCGAATTAAGGAATTTTATCGCATGAAAAAGATTACTTAGTTATAAAAATCGCCATCTAAATTTTGTATCACGTATATTTTTCGTTTTTAATTTGAATATTAAACTCTTACGTTTTATATACAAGAATAAAATTAATTGAGAAAAAGGGATAAAATTAATTAAAAGACACATGTTGGCACTTACACGATCAAAAATAAATAAATTATATTTAATATTTACATGCAATAATTTTTTTAAATAATTCTGTAATATTACTAATTATAATTATGATTAAATATATAATCTAATTATAATTAAATTACTTAATTATAATTATGTGTAAAATAAATGCAGAAGAACGATTAGACTTTTAATTTCTTTTTAAATGATGTTCATAAAGTAATATACATATTATTTAATTATTTCATAATATTTATAAATTTCTGCTACAGATAAACTATTTAGTGTAAATTATTTTCCATTCCTCCCTTCCCAAATATAATCGACATGCTTGATAATATTGCTAAAGAAAAACTATATGAATTGACAGTTAACAGCGAATCAATGGGAAAAACGTCTTGAAAAACATATAACCATTTTATATTCACTAATTTATTATTATTACTAAAGATACCTGCACTGAAAAAAATTAACAGAATACATAAAATTTATGAATAAATTATCGTGTTTATCCTGTTTTATTATATTTGAAAAAATTAAACTGTCTGAACTAATTAAGAAAAAAAGTAGTAATTTATTTTAAATACACGCTTCTATTTTCTTAAACCAATAATCGCATGAGATACTGTATAGTTTTTGAAACAGAAATTTAAACATTTTCAAATTTAATAAAATCTTAGAAAGAGTCTAGAGATCTTTTAAAATCTAAGAAAAATCCGTATACGATATTCTGTAAAAAATATGCAGTTTTTATCACATTTTAATCTTAAATATAAAGCATAATCAATTATTTAAACAAAAAAGTTTACTCACCACTAATTGAATCCATTGCAAATGAGGTTAAACAAAGAAAAGAAACAATAAATAATCCTTTCAAAACCACTGAAAGTATCATGATGCCTTTTGTTTGAAAACTCCCAAAAATAATACCTCACATCAACACTAAAAGAAAATTTCTTTTCCTGCAAAATAAGAACATAACGAAGAAGGTTCTTTTTATTTCCCTTTTATAATTTTCCTGTTCAAGAACTACCGCACTAACTAAATTCCAATTTTCCAAGCAATGACTTCTGAAGACAGTTTAAACAATAGGAGAGTAAGAGCACGATAAAAATTCCACGAACTCCTTTTGCACGAAGCTCCGGGAATTAAATTTTCTGAAGAAAACTTTTCTCTCTCTCCTGTTTTCAGGAAAAAATTTCCTTCTTCAGAGAGAGATGAGAGAATTCCGACGTTAGAATTCGGAAGAGAGGTGTTTTCGGGAGAAGAACTCTAGGATCTCTGGTTGAAACTCCTCTTCGACCGAATCGCTGGCTGAACGAGTCCATGTCTCTCATTTTAAGAGGGGTGAGGGGTTACTTTATTCGGACGGGTGTGAAAAACATCTTATCATGATTTTGGGCAGGATTTGTAATAAATGGATTTTCACGGAAGAAATCAACTGTTGGAAATTTGTTTTTTATCCTGCAAGCTCTATCAGAAGCCGAGGAAGAAAATTTAAATTAAGAATATTTTATGTTAGCATTTCGAAACGTGCCATGCATATGTCTTTTTCTCTAGACTTTTCACTGTATTTTAAAATAAAACACTATAAATAAGAAAGAAGTAGAAGTTTATATATTGCGAATTTTATTTTAAATTCTATATATAATACTATATACGTTATATTTTATTTAGAAAAAAATCAGAAATCATTAGATGTGACAAGTTATTCCTTTAATAGACTACTTTTAATTTATTTTTATGGAGTTAGAAAAAGAATTTCATAAAACCATCTTTTTTTTCCATCAAAATTTTGAATAATCTCATTTAATTATCTTTATTATATCATCTTATGCATGGATCAGTTTATGATAATAAATAATTTTGAAAAAAATAGGTGAATGAAATTGTTTTGTAATTGAATTTGTTTTAAATATTTTAATTTGATTTCATGAAACCTTAACAGCTATCTACTGATCAAAATTACCCGAGAAAACATTACAAAGAAGTTTATAATTGGCTAGGTAGCTATTAAGGCTTAATTTTTCACATTGTTGTAAAATATTTTGCATTGTATTTAATTTGATTAAAATTTTAGATAAATATTTAGTTTTTAATGAGTTCACAAATGTAGAGAGAATATTGATGGTTTTCTTTGATATCATGAGAGATTTTGAAACCAATATTTATTTTTATGTTGAAATATTTTATTTGCTCTTCATGTCTCACAATGGACGAGTTAGAAACCTCACCATGTCAATTTTTTTACCATTTTGATATTCTCTAATTTTTCATCTAAGCCAATGTGAACTCATCATCAGGCTAAATATACAGGGTGGTCCTAAAATATATGTCAAAAATGCAAATTTAGGTAGAGGGGACCTAAGCATATTTCGCATAAGATTGTGTGTACGGTCTTGAGCCGGTAGGGAATCGAATTTTCTTTAGTCTTTACTTGTCTTTTCAGTTTCCTATGATTCATACTGCTTTACAAGCTAGTGCTTTAATGTGCCATTACCGCACACACATTCCTATCCGAAATATGCTTATTTGTGTCCCCTCTACCTACCTTTACATTTTTGACACATATTTTAGGACCACTCAGTATATCTTTTTTCATTTGTAAATAGTATACATGGAACAGTGAAATATCCATTGAGTTTGAAATCAACCAATGACTTTGAAATTTGAAAGGTGAATTTTTACCTTTATGAAACGGACTGTGTACCACCATATTGGTAATATAATGAAATTACTGTTTATGAAGTATTGTTTATAAATAAACGTACAGTAGTTTTTCGTTTTTCTTTTAACTCTTCAGCGAGAAGTTCTTATTAGATAAATTATGTTACTTATAAAATATGTAGGATCAGTCATTCCACTAATTATTTTAATTAATTTAATGCAAGGTAGTGAACAAAAGTAGGATAAATTTTTTTTCGATATCTCATTTGATCAAAATTCTACCATAAAACAATAAACATATTAGTTGATGGAATAAGAGAAATATATTTTTGACATTTAATTAATGAAAAAGGTATTACCTATAGTTACCCAGGTAAAAGCTTTCGAGCATTAGCAATGCGAAGGATATAGCTGGAATAAAAGGAACAAATAATACACTACAAATATTAAAAGGTTTTTAAAAAAATATTATTTTAGCACGTATTTTAAATATCTAATAACATTTACTGTTAAAAATATATGTACAAATACTAGCTTTGATTAAAACGTTATTGTATGCCTAGTCATTTAATTATCTAATATACAATTAAAACTACCGAATCTTTAGAAGATTTCGTGCTTTCAACAAAACGATATATTTCTAATAAATATTTGTTTGGAAAAGTAATGTTCTCATGTAAATAAAAATTTAAAAAAAGCATTTATTTATTTTTTATGCAAATTAGAGTATTTTTCTGCTTACCGTTATTTTAAAAATAGATTCAAAGATAAGAGACATATTTGATTTACAAAGTAAGTTAGAAAGGTGCGTGAGTTTAGTTTGCAAATACATCTCTATGCCAGATTGAAAAGAGATAAAAAATACATTAGATTACATTAAATGCCGTGTTGCTATGTTTGGGGAAAAATCATTTTAAATATTTTGAATCATGAATAATAAGTAGATTAATTTTGAAAGTGTTTAAAAAAATTAGAAAAAAAACAGTGAAATTTCATCGATACTCTTGCCTCAATATGAAGAAGCTTATTATATACTTTAGTTTGTTTCTCCCAAATTATAAGATTGGTTAATTTATTATTGCTTCGAACTAATTACTGTTGCTTCATGGATTACCTTGCGAAATTTGTCAAAATAAGTTCATAAAATAAAGCAGGATTATGTATAACCGTTTTTCTTAATAGTATTAATAATTTCTTGTTTAGTTTAACTTAGTTAATTAAGTCAGGTTATTTGATGTCACATTGTGGATAACTTGCATTTTTTTTCCTTCTTCTTTGTTCTGCGAAACTTATTGGAAACTAATTCACCACGAACAAATGTTAGTCTTATTTTCAAAAATTATGCTACCGATGCTACCAGTTGTTTTGTTCATTTTTTGTTTAGTTCAATGCGAGTGTGTATATATATATCAGAAAGCAGATCAAATTTAAAAAGATCAGTCGTTTTTTGAAAAAAATAAATAGAGAAATAAAAACAAGTAATTTTGGCAATTATAAGAATATTTTACGCAAAGCGATTTATTTAAATCAATGATATTATAAAGAAAATTATAAGCGTATAAATGAATAGAAAATAAATTTCTGGTTACTAGAATATTCCTTAAATCAATAAATAGATCATATCATAACATGCGCTTTGAAAATATTGCGATGGTAATTACTTAAATATTTAAATTGCTTAAATTATTTTTAAAAAAAATTCTGAAAAAAAATTATAAAATAAAAGATTTTACAAGGAATGAATTTGCATTTTTAGTTTTGCAACATGAGAAAAATATGCTTTTAAAGAAAATTAAAATATATAAATATGTAAGAATGAAAAACATATATGCCACATACATAATTTGTAAATTAATTTGTGTAAACAAAATAAAATTATAAATCACTCATATACATAAAATAATATCACGATATGAGGTGTTAACATTGCTGTCATCAACATTTTTTACTGCGAAAAATAGGTTTGAGGTGAAAACTCACGAACTCACTTAAAGCGTTTATTCCTTTTTTTACAAAAACTACTTTCATTTCAATTTTAAACATTCTTCTTGAATAAGTATTAGACTTACGGTTCATCATCACGCACTTCCTTCTGAAAAAAAAAAATATATTTTTTTTTAATCATACATTATTATCTATGTAATAGAAATAGCTATGCGTATTTATACTTAAATATACGTCTCTAACTAATGCAGATTTATAAGCGGTAAACAAATGGCTTTATTGAGAAAAAAATAATGCGAATATGAACAATAAATTTAAGATTACAATTAATTTATTTCTGTTGTGCTAATCTGTTTAATTTTTTCTAGAAAAATCATTACTCCCACTGTTTCATGATAACTGCTCAAAAGTTTTTTAACACCCCTTATTATATTATTATATGCATGATATTGATAGTTACTTAGATTTATATTTAAATTTATGTCGATGATACTAAGAAACAATATTTTTGGTGCATACTTAAACTTGCATAATTTGGAATGTGGGGATTCCAAATCTGAAATTAATTTTGCTCCTAAGGCTACAGATTTTTTTAAATGTCCTTTTTAGTCTATTTTTTTTATTTAAATGTACAAGATTTAAAAACGTTATGTATTAAAACTGCGTAAAAGACCATGACTGGAAATGTCACTGTACGCGATTAGAAGCTCTTCTCTATTATGACCTGTTTAGAATCACACACACACACACAAAAAGTTATTATAGGAAATCGCCCCTAGAGGCATATGACCACACTTCCTGGAATGAGTTTCTTTGTAATTTTTATCCTGATGATCTGTCCTACCTACCCCAGAAGTTTGTGGCAACATTTATGTGATCCACTGTCGCACATAATTTTCCAAACTTGTTCATTTCGACAAAAAATAGCCTAAAAAGTCATTTAAATAAATATCACTTAGATAGAAAAAAACCTCTATTGCAGACTTGAAATTAGTGACTAGAAAATATTCAAAATCCGTGAAAAAATTTCATGCAACAGACAATTTTTTTTTTACCGAGTGTAATCTATGAAGAGTTAATGGGCCGCGTATACTGCATTAAACAATAAATTAACAATATCCAGTTAATAATAGCTGTATTACTTTTTGGCTTAACAGTTTATTGCAGGGTATTCATTGAAAAACTCTCAGAGATAAAAAAAAAATTAGGCGACTCCTCAACAGCGGCGTTTAAAACTGCATTTTATTTCTATGTATACATACAAGAATCAAAATATAAGGACAGTGATTATCATGAAATTAAAACACATTCCAATTGTCTTTGCAGTTTTCACAGATACGCAGTTATTAAGATTGCAAATACTTGGATATGAGGGCAATGATGATTAACTGCATAACAAAATCACTCTATGAGAAACGTAACAAATATCGAACAATAAAATGCTACAGACAGTTTTTATATTCGATACAATGATATATTTGCCAAAAAAAGTAATGATGCAGATAAAATGAACAATGTAACGTCTCGTCGTTTACAGAACTAAAAAACGTTGATTTGTAGTAAAATAAGATATTTTGTGGTTTAACTCGGTTTTGTTAGGTTTATTTAGTTGCCGTACAACAGATTAGCAGAGAGTAGATTAGTCCGTTTGCAAATCTTGAATGAGTATTAGCTTTCACACGTTGACCTTAAAGTTTAAATAGTTATATTTGATGTGTAAGTTGTTAGCATTGATTTAATCCAAATTAGTTCGACGGTAAGGGCCAAGTAATCTTTGTCTTCTCTTTCCCTTAACCTGTGAAACTATGCCTTTCAGTTATACTTTATACCAGAATCCTGAGGGGGGGGGAATTTCTGCTCAGATTGAAGAATGTTAGAAACTATTCAGTCGCCATGTTGTTCTTTGCGTTTATGAATAAAGC